TGATGGGAAAGACCTTGACCTGAGACCCTGGCTCAGTGGTAGAGCCTGTGCTTGGCATGCAGAAGGCCCCAGGTTACACCTCCAACATCTCCAGTTAAAAGGACCAGGGAGCAGGGACGTGAAAGATGTCTAACTGAGATTGTGGAGAACCACTGCCAGGTGGAATATTCGGTACTAACTGAGATGGACCAGGCCTTGGCTGAATAAGAACCAACTCTTTGCATGCAGAAGGTCCAAGGTTCGGTTCCTGCTGTCTTTAGTTGAAGGGCAACAGATGGGAATGACCTTTCTCTACTGGGGGCTCTGGAGAGCTTGTTACCCACTGGTGGTCCTCCTGATGGCACCTGGGTTTTGCCCACTGTGTGACACAGAGTGTTGGATTGGATGGGCCATTGGCCTGATCCAACATGGCTTCTCTTATGTCTGGGGCAGTGATGCTCTGTATTCTTGGTATAGGGGGTCATGCGGGGCTTCTGGATTTCTGACCCCACTGGTGGACCTCCTGATGGCACCTGGGTTTTGCCCACTGTGTGACACAGAGTGTTGGACTGGATGGGCCATTGGCCTGATCCAACATGGCCTATCTTATTTTCTTATGAAATAGGCAATCCCGTGTAAGATGGACCATTATTCTGATTCAGTCGAAGGCAACTGGTATATGTTCGGAGGTCACCCCCAACAGCAGCCTTCCAGTCTGGTTCTTTTTCACAGGGCTTTTCTGAAAAAAATGACTGCAAGCAGTAGAATTTTTGTCATCTTTTCCAGGTTTGATGTCTTCTCCTTTTTCGCGTTTCACGATGCCATTCCTCTCTGAGAGCGACTGCCGGTCGCTGTCAGCCACCTTGGGCATCAAAGGTGGAGAGAGGAATCCGTATTTCCGTTGATAAATAAAACAGGGACGGGGACCAAGAAACACGGCCCTTCTTTGACAAAGACAGCTGCTTGTCGCCGTCCTGGTGCAGATGTCTCATTTTAAACCAACCGTGGGAGTGAATCAGGGGTTGAAGGGAGCAGGGCTGAGATTTTGCTTTAGAGCGGCATCAGGTTTTTCTAGCGGCACGGAGGTAAGTGCTGGAGATGGTCTCTAAGCAGTGGCAGCCCAGCTTTAGCTTGAAGCGGGAGGCGGCAGTTGCTTCGGGCAGCAGATTCCCCTGTCTCCAGCACAGGTGATGTCGTTTTTGAAAGGGGGGGGGAGATGTCATTTTTGACATGTCAAGTACAGTGTCGAGCACTGTTTGCAATGGAGGGTCACCAGAACCCCTTAATGGAGAGCGATCAAGATGGGTAGCTGTCAGGATCCTGGTTAAATCAGTTCTCAACACCAGTCACTGCGAAGGAAGCTAACTTTTATTGAGACATTGATAGATACCATACTCGACACGAGCTGTTGTTAGGACTGAAGTTGAACGTGCAGAAGTTACGGATATAGTGTGTTCAAGTAAAGGCACTAAAGATCAGGAGCTAATCACCCACGAGAATTAACAGTCAACTACCCCCCCCCAGAGCATCCCTCCCGCCAAAACTAACAGTTGCCTACCCACCCACCCCAGACACGTAGCCTCTACATAGCAAGAGAAACAGAATAACAGACATTTGAGAAGCCAGGGCATTTGGCCCCACGAAGGTAACCAGCCTCTGGCACATCAGAGAGAGGGGAACCTCCTCTCTCAATGGCAGGTGAGCTGTAAAATGCATAGGGAGCCTGACAGTAGCCGTGTTAGTCTATCTGTAGCAGTAGAAATGAGCAAGAGTCCAGGGTCACCTTAAAGACTAACAAAATTTGTGGCAGGGGAGGAGCTTTCGTGAGTCACTGCCCACTTCTTCAGATCTGAAAAGATCAAGAGTCCAGGAGCACCTTATAGACTAACAGAATTTGTGGCAGGGTAGGAACTTTCATGAATCACTGCTCACTTTTTCAGATACAGCTAGAATGTGAGTCCATCTGTCTTAAATGTTGGAAAGTGGAGTGATTTCAGATGCCGAAGGACATTAGCAGGCATAGCCAATAGCAGGCTTGTCTTGAAGAAAGCTGTCCCAGGGTATCATAACAGTTCTCTTACAAAGGAATTTCAAAGGGAGATTAGAAAGAGAGACTGCTGAACTGCAACTGAGAATGAAGCTCACGACAATGCATCCACCTGGACTGGATCAAGACCTAGGTTTCCTATCTCGTTACCAATGCTGATTTCACCATGCCTACTACCCTTCTGCATATCACATAAAATCCAGTCATGCCTGCTATTGTAATTCACCAGCAACTGTCATTTGCCTGCTAATTCAGCATCTAGATTCAGCAAGAGTCCAGGAGCACCTTAAAGACTAACAGAATTTGTGGCAGGGGAGGAGCTTTCCTGGGTCTCTGCTCCCTTCTTCATATCTGAAAAGAACAAAAGTCCAGGAGCACCTTAAAGACTAACAGAATTTGTAGCAGGGTAGGAGCTTTCATTGAGTCACTGCTCACTTCTTCAGACATCAGGAAACCCAGCACTGCTCTAAAGCAGGTATCTGAAGAACTCGAGCAGAGACTCACAAAATCTCATGCCTTGCCACAAATTTTGTTAGTCTTTATGGTGCTACCAAGGAGCTGCGGTGGCTCAAGTGGTTAAGACGCTGAACTGCAGGCTGTGGAAGGTCGGTAGTTCAGCAGTTCAAGACCCGGGTGCCGCATGACGGAGTGAGCTCCCGTCTCTCGTTCCAGCTCCTGCCAACCTAGCAGTTCGAAAGCAAGAAATTGCAAGTAGATAAATAGGTACCACTTCGGTGGGAAGGTAACCGCGCTCCATGCACCTTGGTGTTTAAGTCATGCTGGCCACATGACCACGGAAACGTCTTCGGACAGCGCTGGCTCTTCGGCTTTGAAACAGAGATGAGCACCGCAACCCTAGAGTCGGACTCGACTGGCTTTCGAGCAAGGGAAACCTTTACCTTTACCTTTATGGTGCTACCAGGTTCTTGCTGTTTTCAGTTCTGAAGAAGTGACTGCAGTGACTCAGGAAAGCTCCTACCCTGCCACACATTTTGTTAGTCCTTAAGGCACTACTTGACCCTTGCTCTTTTCGACAGAACTCTGTGGGGAGAGATCCCTGTCTTACAGCCTTCGGTCCAGAACGTAGAGCTCTGGCGAACACATGAAGCTGCCTTATACTGAATCAGCCCTTTTTTGGTCCATCAAGGTCAGTATTGCCTACTCAGGCTGGCAGCTGCTCTCCGGGGTCTCAGGCAGAGGTCTTTCCCATCACCTCCTGCCTGGTCCTTTTTTAAAGTGGAGATTGCTGGGTGTCAGCTAATGCTGCCCTGGGTTGGAATGTTCTGTCTGAGGGATGTGCTCGTTTGCCTCCCCCTCTTCTTTCTCTTTGCTAATGCTTATCTTGCAGGTGTCCTTGAAGCTAGAGGGGCTTCTTCTCCTGGCTTCCTGCTGGGAATCTAACGGCTGAGTGTTTGCCCGTGTTTAGGCATGCTTGCTTATTGGCTTTGTAGTATCAGGGGGTCTCCTGTGAAGGGGGTATATCCCAAAAGCCCTGCGCTTCTCCCGCCATTCCTGACACAAGAGCTCGTGGTGTCTGAAGTACTATGTCTCTCAATAAACTGAATCTTCTGAAGACCTGGTGTTGTGTGATTGACTGGGAACCCTGACACTGGGAACTGAACCCAGAACGTTCTGCGTGCCCAGCAGATGTTCTACCAAGAAGCCACAGTCACTCCCCAAAATAAAGAGAACTCACCCTTCCCATTATGTGTTTAAAAAAGTCCTATTTTATATATAGCCAGGAAGAGGATACATCTGTATTGAATTCCTGAGGCTGCCATATTGAGTTCCTGAAGCTGGGGCCCCCTGGTCTATCAAGGCCAGTATTGCCTACTCATACTGGCAGCAGCTCTCCAGAGTCTCAGGCAGAGGTCTTTCACATCACCTACTAGGGGTGTGCAAAAAAAAAAAAAATCCGGCCCGATTCGGATTCGGACGAATCGGGCAGAATCAATTTCCACCGGCATAAAGACTCCTGCATGTCAATTTCGGCAGTACCAGCCATTCAGGAGTCTTTGGGCCAGCCGAATGTCAGTTTCAGCCCCATTATATCCTATGGGCCATTGAAGTCAATGGCGAAAACATAGGGTATATTCTGGGGGCTGGAGGGGAGGGGGTTTGAGGGAGAGGCTCCAAGCTCACAGGTTAGCTGCTGGAGTTTCTCCCCAAGATACCAACTAAATTCCAAGAGCATTGGACCAGGGGGTCCAATTCTACGGGCCCTCAAACAGTTTGCCCCTATCCCCTCCATTGTTCTCTATGGTGAGGAAAAAGTTGAGAACAATGGAGGGGATAGGGGCAACCTGTTTGATAGTGGATTTTCCCGGGTCCTTTTAAACTCCTCGTCTTTGGCTGACTGCTACGGGTTGCTGACGGGTGCGGGACGCTGGCCAGATGTGTCCGCTCGGTCGCCCCACTAAAACCCGGCTGGCATTTGTGAGTATCCCGTGGCAAATTCTGCGTGTGATTGGGGCCTTAGTTGTCCTTTTCTGCACTTTCCCCGATGTTATAATACCTTTCTTGCGGTGTGGGGACCTGAACTGTACACAGCTTTCCAAATGAGGCCGCACCACAGATGTATACATTTATAAAGTCCTGCACCTATGCTTAAAGGTTAATAAGCAATCCCAAAATGTTTCTGCCCTGCAGCGTGTCCCTGGTGGAATCAGACAAGGACCCAAGGTGGCCTCTCGGTTTTATCCAGCAGGCCTCCCCTTATGTCCTGACGTTCCGCCGCAGGTGATGTCTCCCAGATAGAGCCACGGCCCATATTTCAGTCCCGCACCTGTGCTTAAAGGTTAATAAGCAGCCCTACGAAGCTTCTGTGTGGCAGCGTGGGCCTGCCATGATCAGGCGAGAGGGATGAGTCATCCTGACGCGTGGCTGAGGTGGGAGACACGAGAGAGAAGCTAGCCGGCTGCCTGAACGGCTTCTGTGTATGAGCAATCCCGTGTGGGCCCGGCTGCATTCGCACATGTCCCCCTGGGCGACTCACCCAGCGCCTCTTCCTGATGCAGCCGCCCTCCTCGCCGACAAAAAGGCCCCAATGAAGCTCGCCTGCGTCTGTGAGTGGGAAGCCAGAGCTTGGTTTAGAACCGTGTTTCCCAAACTGTGGGTCAGGACCCAAAAGGGGGGTCGTGAAGCCTCTGGAAATGGCTCACAAGCCTGCTCTCCCTAGCGGCTGCCTCCGCCCTTTCGGCGTTTCACTTTGTGTTTCGGGAACCGAGATCTGACCCTGGAAACAGTGCCTTCCGTGTCCTATATTAGTTGGTAATGAATGCCCCATGCGTTATGTCTGGGGCAGTGATGCGCTGTGTTCCTGGTGCTTGGGGGGGCAACCGTGGGAGGGTCTGGAGTTCTGGCTCTGCTGGTGGACCTCCTGATGGCACCTGGGTGTTGGCCACTGTGTGACACAGGGTGTTGGACTGGAGGGGCCATTGGCCTGATCCAAAATGGCTTCTCTTACGTTCTTAAGAGCAGAAGTCCATCAGTGAGTATTAGCCACAAGGTATAGAGGGAGCGCTTTGTCTGGGGCAACAGTGGGATGCTCTGTATTTTTGGTGCTTGGGGGTTTCTGGAGTTCTGGCCCTGCTGGTGGACCTCCTGATGGCACCTGGGTTTTGGCCACTGTGTGACACAGAGCATTGTAATGGATGGGCCGTTCGCCTGATCCAACATGGCTTCTCTTATGTTCTTAATATTTTTTCTATTTTATTCCCTACCTATAGGAGAGCCAAGGTGGCGTAGTGGTTAAGAAGAGTGGTGGACTCTAATCTGGAGAACCGGGTTTGATTCCCCACTCCTCCACGTGAAGCTAGCTGGGTGACCTTGGGTCAGTCACAAGTTCTCTCAGAGCTCTCTCAGCCCCAAAAATAAGTCTAGCTCACTATAAAATAGAGCTAAAACAAGGCTGCCAGACAATCTTCAGATCTCCTGGCTATGCCACACACAATGCCATATGATGATAATAATAATAATAATTTTCTGCTTATACATGTTGATCTAGTGAAACATGTCCTGGTGAGAGCCAGTTTGATGTCATGGTTAGGAGTGCGGACTCTAATCTGGGAGAACCATGTTTGATTCTCTACTCCTCCACATACAGCTGCTGGTGTGACTCTGCATCAGTTACAAGTTCTTTCAGAGCTGTTCTGTCACAAAGAGTTCTCCAAAGAGCTCTCTCAGCCCACCAACTTTCCAGGGTGTCTGTTGTGGGGAGGGGAAGGGAAAGGAGGCTCTGAGGCTCCTTTGGGTAGTGAAGGGCGGGGTATAAATCCAATTTCTTCTTATCTTCTGGTGGTTAGTAGAGTAAGTTCCTTAGACTCTTAGGGGGAATTAGAGGGAGTAATGGAGAAAGAGTCAAAGGCCGGAATGTCACCTCCCTATGCAAAGGCTGCTTGTGTCAGACCGCCACTTGTTTGGGGTGCATAGTGTGGACAGCTGTGCCCTTTGTGTAGTTTGCTGGTTTCTCAAAAACATCTGGGTAGAAGAAGAAGAAGAAGAGATTGGATTTATACCCCACCCTTCACTACTTAAAGGTGTCTCAGAGCGGCTTACAAAACTCCTTTCCCTTCCCCTCCCCACAACAGACACCCTGTGAGGTAGGCGGAGCTGAGAGAGCTCTTGACAGAAACTGCTCTTTTTCAAGGACAGCTGTGCCAGAGTTATGGCTTGCCCAAGGTCATCCAGCCAGGTGCAAGTGGAGGAGTGGGGAATCAAACCCAGTTCTCCCAGATTAGAGTCCGCGCGCTTAACCACTACACCAAACTGGCTGTAGCCACTGTGCAAAACTGAATGGTGAGAACTAGACAAGTGTCAGCGTCATAGTTTGCCCAGGGAGCCAAAAAACCATGGGCCGACGCTGGATGGGTCACCATGCCAGGTAAATTTGGACTTGCGCTGTGTTGCCTTTAAGCTGAGTTAGTGTGAGCTAGCTCACAGTTTCTTAGCCTCCGGCTCACAGATTTTTGTCTCGGCTCAGGAAGGAGGGCTCCAGAGCAAACTCATTTACGCAGCAGCCAAATCGCTCGCTCACAGCTTTCATGCGGGTAGCTCACAAAGTAGAATTTCTTCTCACAAGACTCCACAGCTTAGAGGGAGTACTCGGTGCGGGTCCCCATAACGAAAAGGTGGAGAGTCCGGTGTTCCCTCTAAGCTGAGTTAGTGTGAGCTAGCTCACAGTTTTTCAGCCTCCGGCTTACACATTTTTGTCTTAGCTCATGAAGGGAGGGATCCAGAGTAACCTAATGTATGCAGTAGCCAAGTCGCTCACTCACAGCTTTGATGCCAGTCGCTCACAAAGTGGAATTTTTGCTCACAAGACTCCACGGCTTAGAGGGAACACTGGAGTCTGAGAAGAACCACTGCTTTACAAGGCAGGACTGCAGAGCACCCATGAGCTGTCCGTGGTGCTGATAAGGCACTTGAATGAGGGCGCTCTCCTTTTGCCACCACCACACCTCTGCTGCTTGGGATATTTCTGGCACCACTCGGCGGGCGCCTGTAAAGGTGTTGATGGGAGCCATGCTGGAATTGACATCGCCTGGACTTTTGCTTCATCCGCGGCCACAAGCGGGACACATCCTCCGACTCCGAACCAGTCAGTGATGGATACGTTACCCCCTCTCTCAACCAGACGTCAGTTCCCTTCCCACAGGAAGCAAGATACAGAACACCAAACCCCCCTGCCTCTATCGCCCTTTCTCCCTGCCCACTGCCTGTGACATGCTGCGTTGCTTGGTGGCGTCTCTGCAACAGGCGTGGGGTGTTTTTTTTGGTTTTGTTCTGTTCTTAAATACGGAATTCTGTGCAGCCGGGCCTGCGTTGACCCGCCTGCCCCGCTCTAAGACAAATCACAAAGTGTAAACAGCTGGCCGGGATTTAATTTCCTGTGGTCTAATAAGCAGCGTGATTAGAAGGAGCGAGCGCAGGCTCCCAGAGGCAGAGCAGGAAGATCACTGCCAAACAAGATTTAGCCAGCAAAACCCCCCCCCCCATAATGGGAGTTGAGGGACTTAATGCTGGCTCGGGCATGGCAGGATGGGAGACAATTCTCCAGGCAAATTCCCCTAGAGCGATGGATGTCGCTTCAACAGCGACTTGGGTGCAGCCTCTAGCACCTCAGTCAGGGGTCCCCAACCTTTTTGAGCTTGCGGACACGTTAGGAGTTCTGCCACAACATGGTGGGCACAGCCACAAAATGGCTGCCACATCCGGTTGCCAGGGCCTAGCTTTCCCGCAGCAGGGGGACTCCTGGCTTCTCGTCGGGAAGTCTCTGCCACGCGCACAAAGCGCGTGCTGCAGGATGACGTCATCGGTAGTGACGAGTACTCCCTCTAGGCTGAGTCAGTGTGAGCTAGCTCAGAGTTTTTTAGCCTCCGGCTCGCACCTTTCCGTCTTAGCTCAGGAAGGAGGGCTCCAGAGCAAACTAGTTTACGCAGCAGCGAAATCACTTGCCACCAACTTGAATGCCAGGAGCTCCCAAAGTCGGATTTCTGCTCACAAGATTCCACATCTTAGAGGGAGCATTGGTAGTGACATCATTGCGCTGGGGCCATTGTGCGGCGACGCACTAGCATTCGAGGTAATTCCCCAGGCAGATCCTGGGTAACCATAGAGTCCCCCCCAAAAAATGCCACAGCGTTGCTGTACGACAGCCCCAGCACGATGATGTCACTACCGGTGATGTCACTGCATCGGTGGCATCCCCATAGGATGCTGCTGTTCAGAGGTGGGGCTTCCCTCGCTGGCCAGTTGGCCGGCAGCTGATTGGGGAGCCTCAAAATTGGGGGATCCCGTGCCCCGACCCGGGGGATGGCAAGCAACCCTACTGCTGCAGGAGGCGGCACCAGCCACAAAAGGATCGCCACCGCTTAACTTCAATCACACCGTGCAGGTCCTTGTGCTGCAGTGGCAGCTGCTGCCCAAGCAACGCTTTTGAAGTATCTGCACAGCCAGTCAAATCTCCAGTGGCCAATCAGAAGCCTTGCCGGGCAAAAGCCCCGCCTGGCCCCACCTACTTCCTCAAAACACTTGGCAGGAGCCAGAAAGGGCACCACGTTGGGGGCCTCTGGCCTAAATAGCCAGACAGCTCTCCTTTGCAAGCGGGTTTCACCCTCGTGCTGTGGTTGACCAGGAATGTAAAAGGGTTGGCAGCTAGGGAACGAGGGAGGAGTCTGAAAAGGAAGAGCCAGTAGGAAACAGGGGGGGGTAGATGAGGGGGGATGGAAGGAGGAGTGGCCCAGAGGAATCCTGGGAAAAGGGAGAGGGCAGTGGGAGGAGTCTCCAAGAGAGCAGGGAGAATGAACGGGGTTGTAGCCGAAGGGAGAACCGGTGGGAATGACCCGTTTCGCCTGGATCTTGTTCAGCAGTGTGTAAGGGAGGATGTTTTAGTTTGGTGTAGTGGTTAAGTCTGCGGACTCTAATCTGGGGAAACTGAGTTTGATTCCCCACTCCTCCACTCGTAGCTGCTGGATCACCTTGGGCAAGCCATAGTCCTCTCAGAGCTGTCCTTGAAAAAAGAGCCGTTTCTGTCAAGAGCTCTCTCAGCCCCACCTACCTCACAGGGTGTCTGTTGTGGGGAGGGGAAAGGAAAGGAGTTTCCAAGCCACTCTGAGACTCTGAGTGAAGGGCGGGGCATAAATCCCATCTCCTCCTCCTCTTCTAAAAAGGCCGTGTTCCTGAGTTGCTTTGCTATATGTTCTGCCACATTCTATCCCTCTGCCACACAAAAATCCCTGCAAGCAGGGTGGAATTTTGCCTCAATGGGGGAAAAGTCAATGGAATTTTGGGTTTGTTTGTTTTTTTGCCCTGTGAGTTTTCCTCTCCTGTTTATAATCAGAATGTGTGTGTGTGTGTGTGTGTGTGTGCGTGTTAGTGGCTTGTACTTTGAGCACAGAGGAGGAGGAGGAGATGGGATTTATACCCCGCCCTTCCCTACCCAAAGGAGCCTCAGAGCGGTTTACAATTTCCTTTCTCTTCCCCTCCCCACAACAGACACCCTGGGAGGTAGGCGGGGCAAGTAGGAGATCAAGTAGGAGATCGGTTGATCAGTATTTGAACTGGTTTAACAATCATGCCAAAAGGACGCCGGGGAGTCACAGGTCTAGGCCGAGAGCTAGAGATCTCCACCAATATTTCTCCATAGCGCTGATAGGGCTGATGACTTCAGAGGTGGTGGAAAACACTGTCGAGTCACAGCCGATCTATGGCGACCCTGAAGGTTTTCCAGGCAAGAGACAAGCAGAGGCGGTTTGCCATTGCCTGCCTCTGCACAGCAACCCTGGACTTCCCTTGGTGGTCTCCCATCCAAGTACTCACCAGGGTTGACCCTGCTTAGCTTCTGAGATGTGTTGAGATCCGACTAGCCTGGGCTATCCAGGTCAGGACATGACTTCAGCGCCTGGAGTTTTTTTCGTTGCCCGGGCATGCTCTCCTGGAATGACCCGCGAGCCACTCCGTTGAGTGATATAAACTTAACGGGGAAACGCCGATCGTTCGTTGTGCAATGGCTGCCTTTATTGTTCACGGCACCGTGGCTGTTTTCATTGTACACTGTGCAACTGCTGCTTTCGAGACATGAATAAAAGAAGGTGTTTAAAAATTAAAACCCCAAAGATCATAACTGCCTGCCTTTTAAAAGGACCCAAGTGGAGATTTCATTTTAAACTGTTCCGGGCAGAAAGACCGGAAAACTCTGAAATGGATCCATTCCTTCCTTCGTCCAATCCTGGCCTTCAACAACTCTTCTGTTACAGCTGGCTAGTTACCATTAATGTTTGTACAGTTAATTTTTTCCCCCGGTTGCCGGAGATGGAAGTCTTCCAATGACCACATCGGCACTCGGGAGCTTGAAACCCTGTCCCCTAACTAATGACGCCAAGTGGATGGCTTTAAAAGAGGGTGCGGCAGATGCAGGGAGAACAGATCCATCAGTGGCTACTAGTCATAATGGCTACGGGAACCTCCATATTCAGAGGCAATTGACTGCTAAATCCCAGTGCTGGGAAGCAGCATCAGCGGGAGGCTTTGGGCCTCGATACCCTGTTCGTTGGCCCTCTAAGGCAACTGGTGTGAAACAGGATGCTCGGCTAGATGTTCAAATCCATTAGGGAGGGACTGTGGCTCAGTGGTAGAGCATCTAAGAACATAAGAGAAGCCCATGTTGGATCAGGCCAATGGCCCATCCAGTCCAACACTCCGTCACACAGTGGCCAAAAATACCAGGTGCCACCATGAGGTCCAGCAGTGGGGCCAGGACACCAGAAGCCCTCCCACTGTTGACCCCCCCCCAAGCACCAAGAATACAGAGCATCACTTGCCCCAGCCTGTGATTTCCTATCTATACCTTGTGGCTAACAGCCACTGATGGACCTCTGCTCCATATGTTTATCCAATTCCCTCTTGAAGCCATCCATGCTTGTAGCTGCCACCACCTTCTGTGGCAGTGGATTCCACTTTGCATGCAGGAAGTCCCAGGTTCAGACCCCGGCATCTCCAGTTAAAAGGATCAGGTAGTACATGATGGGGAAAGACCTTGATCTAATACCCTCTCTTGATCTAATACCGCCTCTCCCGGTATACCCCCCCCAAGAGCATTATGCACAGCTGATAAGAACTTGTTTGTGGTCCCAGCCCAAGAGATACCCAGCTGTCCTCGGCCATGGCCAGGGCTTTCAGTGCCCTGGCCCCAACCTGGTGGAACTCTCTGCCGAGTAACATGCATGCCCTGCGGGGCCGGACACAGTTCCTCAGGGCCTGCAAGGCACAAATGTTCCGCCAGGTGTTTGGCCGAGGACAGCAAGGGTGTCCATCTGGATGGCACTGTCCCTCCCTTCCCCCACAAGGTGGCAGCACTCTGACCGCCATCGGTTGAAATTGAACTGTTTGAGTTTTATTGTAAATCTTTAATGTTTTTATCTCATATGATATGTTGGTTTTACTGTGCTGTTATACACCGCCCTGAGCCCTGCTTGCAAGGAATGGGTGGTATAAAAGTTGAATACATGAATGAATGAATACCCTGGCCCAGTGGTAGAGCCTCTGCTTTGCATGCAGAAGGTCCCAGGTTCAATCCCCAGAATCTCCAGTTAAAAGGATTAGGCAAGTAGGTGATGGGAAAGACCTTGACCTGAGACCCTGGCTCAGTGGTAGAGCCTCTGCTTGGCATGCAGAAGGTCCCAGGTTCGATCCCCGGCATCTCCAGCTAAAAGGACCAGGCAGGAGGTGATGGGAAAGACCTTGACTTGGGATCCTGGCTCAGTGGTAGAGCCTCTGCTTGGCATGCAGAAGGTCCCAGGTTCAATCCCCAGAATCTCCACTTAAAAGGATTAGGCAAGTAGGTGATAGGGATGTGCATTCGGTTCGTCCGAACCGAATGCGCCCCCGAAAATGGCACATTCGGACCGCTTTCGGGCTGCTGCAGGCCGATTCAGATTCAGATTCAACTGGCTTGAGATAACAGATCAACTCTCACCACTAGTGGCTATTGACTTCCGATAACCGTAGCTCTGATAGGAGCAGATATTTTAGAACAATGGTCCGAAGATAACTAAACATAAACTGATTTGGGAACTGGACTGGTTTGTCTACAGGGAGAAAATTAAAAGCTAAACAGAACAAAGGGATTTTTGTTGTTGTTGTTCTTTGTACAGTTACATAAGAACATCAGAAGAGCCCAGCTGTGGTCCATCTAGTCCAGCATCCAGTCTCACACAGTGGCTAACCAGTTCCTCCGGAGGGCCAACAACAGGGCATGGAGGCCAAAGCCTTCCCCTGATATTGCCTCTTGGCACTGGTATTAAGAGGTCTGCTGCCTCTGATCATGGAGGCTCACCTCAGTTACCAGGACTAGTAGTAATTCTCTCCTCCATTAATCTGTCTAATCCACTTTTGAAGCCCGCTGTGCCTGTGGCCATCCCTCCATCGTTTGACAATGAATTCCACAATCGACAGTGGTCCATCTAGTCCAGCATCCAGTCTCACACAGTGGCTAACCAGTTCCTCCGGAGGGCCAACAACAGGGCATGGAGGCCAAAGCCTTCCCCTGATATTGCCTCTTGGCACTGGTATTAAGAGGTCTGCTGCCTCTGATCATGGAGGCTCACCTCAGTTACCAGGACTAGTAGTAATTCTCTCCTCCATGAATCTGTCTAATCCACTTTTAAAGCCCGCTGTGCCTGTGGCCATCCCTGCATCGTTTGACAATGAATTCCACAATCGAATCACTCGCTGAGTAAAGAAAGAATTCCTTTGGTCTGTCCTGAATCTCCTGGATGTGTATTTCATTGTGTGCCCTTGGGTTCTAGTATTTGTGGAGAAACCGTTCTCCCTAACCACTCTTTCTGCTCTGTGCATAATGCTCTAAATGTCTATCATGCCTCCCCCCGCCCCCCGACTCTTCAGCCTTTCGTCTTAAGGAAGGTGCGCCAACCCCTTAATCATCTCAGTTGCCCTCTCCAGTACTTTTCCCAGCCCCGTAAATGTCCTTTTTGAAATACAGTCAAGTGTAGAAGGAGAAAACCAATGAACGCATAAGAAGATCATTGACAATCCCGGCGTCGTGAAGTGGGCATTTTGCTTTCCCCCCGTAAGGCAAGAATTGGAGGGACCTGATTAAAAAAAAAATAGGGTAGGTTTGATCAGACAAACCGAAGTTGCTGTCATCCGTATTTCATGCCGTGCACACGCACGCACACAAAGGTGTTCAGTGGCATGTTTTGAACTCCAATAGGATAAGTGACTTTTTAAAAGAGGATTAGTCATGTTCACGGAGGGAAAACAATCAGCTGTGGAGGGAAAACAATCAGCTGTGGATGTTTTATTCATGCCACCTCCGTTTCTGGTGCAGCAACTGCAAAAGATACCCACACAGAGCAGGCATCTGCTGAGTCAGACCCTTGGTTTATCAGGGTAAGTATTGTTTACTCTGACTGGCAGCTGCTGTTCGGGGTCTCAGCGGGGCATCTTTCGCATGAACTGCTACCTGGTCCTTTTAACTGGAGATGCCCAGGGATTGAACCTGGGGCCTCCTGCATGCAACCTGGATGCTCTTCCATTGAGCCAGGGTCTCAGGTCAAGGTCTTTCCCATCATCTACTACCTGGTCCTTTTGATTGGAGGTGCCAAGTACTGAACCAGAGATCTTCTGCATGCCAAGCAGAGGCTCTACTGCTGAGCCAGAGTTCCAGGTCAAGGTCTTTCCCATCACCTACTATCTGGTCCTTTTAACTGGTGATGCCAAGTACTGAACCAGAGATCTTCTGCATGCAAAGCAGAGGCTCTACCTCTGAGCCAGAGTTCAAGGTCTTTTCCATCACGTACTACCTGGTCCTTTTAACTGGAGATGCCAAGTACTGAACCAGAGATCTTCTACATGCAAAGCATAGTACATGCAAAGCAGAGGCTCTACCGTTGAGCCAGAGTTCCAGGTCAAGGTCTTTCCCATCCCCTCCTACCTGGTCTTTTTAACTGGAGAAGCTGGCGACTGAACCAAGGACTTTCTGCATGCAAAGCAGAGGCTCTACTGCTGAGCCAGAGTTCCAGGTCAAGGTCTTTCCCATCCCCTCCTACCTGGTCTTTTTAACTGGAGAAGCTGGCGACTGAACCAAGGACTTTCTGCATGCAAAGCAGAGGCTCTACTGCTGAGCCAGAGTTCCAGGTCAAGGTCTTTCCCATCCCCTCCTACCTGGTCTTTTTAACTGGAGAAGCTGGCGACTGAACCAAGGACTTTCTGCATGCAAAGCAGAGGCTCTACTGCTGAGCCAGAGTTCCAGGTCAAGGTCTTTCCCATCCCCTCCTACCTGGTCTTTTTAACTGGAGAAGCTGGCGACTGAACCAAGGACTTTCTGCATGCAAAGCAGAGGCTCTACTGCTGAGCCAGAGTTCCAGGTCAAGGTCTTTCCCATCCCCTCCTACCTGGTCTTTTTAACTGGAGAAGCTGGCGACTGAACCAAGGACTTTCTGCATGCAAAGCAGAGGCTCTACTGCTGAGCCAGAGTTCCAGGTCAAGGTCTTTCCCATCCCCTCCTACCTGGTCTTTTTAACTGGAGAAGCTGGCGACTGAACCAAGGACTTTCTGCATGCAAAGCAGGTGTTCTGTCTATCGGCCCTTCCATTGCTGACCATCAGGGGTCATTTCGTAGAAAAAGAGGTGCAGGAGCTCATTAGCATAACTCATTCGCATAACTCATTTGCATATGCCACACCCCCTGACATCACCGGAAGTGTACAATATACAATGGGTACAGCAATATAGAGTAACAAGTAATGGAAAATTGCTGCAAACGTGCACACAAATAGATAACAATAATACAAGCACTTAAACTTGTGATGCTCTCATGTTGTTTTAATCCTTGTTTTCAGCAAAAAAGCGCCAACCAGACACAGCAGTGGCGTGGAGACGAGCGGACCACGAACCCCCCGAGCAAAGACTGTTTGTCCGATGGAAGTTTATCTTTGATACTGTATGCTGTGAGCCACTGAGGAAGCATTTGGGATTTGGGATTTCCAGTTTGTGGGGAGTGGTGTGTGAAGACCATGGAAGATTGAGATTTTTGACAGGGAATTGTATTGAAGCGAACGGCTTTGCTCGGGGGGTTCGTGGTCCGCTCGTCTCCACGCCACTGCTGTGTCTGGTCGGCGCTTTTTTGCTGAAAACAAGGATTAAAACAACATGAGATGGAATTCACTGCCACAGGAAGTGGTGGCGGCTACAAGCATGGACGGCTTCAAAAGGGAATTAGATAAGCATATGGAGCAGAGGTCCATCAGTGGCTATTAGCCACAAGGTATAGATAGGGGCTCTGGGGCAAGTGATGCTCTGTCTTCTTGGTGCTTGGGGGGGTCAACAGTGGGAGGGCTTCTAATGTCCTGGCCCCACTGGTGGACCTCCTGATGTCACCTGGTATTTCTGGCCACTGTGTGATACAGAGTGTTGGACTGGATGGGCCATTGGCCTGATCCAACATTGGCTGCTCTTATGTTCTTATGTTCTTACGCGCAAGATCAGCAAGGAGACAAATTGCACGCCTCCCGTCTGGTAATGGGAGCAACCCCTAAGGGTCAACCAAACCGTCCAGTTGTTAACGGGACTGACTTGGAGGCAAGGTTATGTGTCAGCAAAAAATAAATCAAGAACACGCTGAAGATGTCCGGCCTTCTTCTTTTCTAAACAACAAAGATCTGGCCTTCTGATACATTGCCTTGCCCTTTGGAACCGGCTTTCCCTTGCTCAGCAGTCTGGTCAACGATTCTACCAACCTCAGCAGAAGATGCTTTCCAGACCTGAACTCAAGGGAAAGGACTTTAAGTTCCACATAAAATTTGTTGCTAGAGGTGGCAGGTAGCCCTGTGTATCCAAAGCAAAATCTTAAGAGCGTAGCCCAAGATCTATTTTCCCCTTCTCCTATCCTTTGAAAAACATCCAATCTGATTATTTAAAGTTCTTGACACCTTGAACGCTTTGGTACCATTTTGGTTGGTTGCAATAAAGAGAAGAAGAAGAGAAGAGATTGGATTTATACCCTGCCCTTCACTACCCGAAGGACTCTCAGAGCAACTTACAATCCCTTTCCCTTGCCCTCCCCTCAACAGACACCCTGTGAGGTAGGTGGGGCTGAGAGAGCTCTCCCAAGAGCTGTCCTTGAGAGAACAGCTCTGAGAGAACTTGTGATGGACCCAAGGTCACACCAGCAGCTGCATGTGGAGGAACGGGGAATCAAACCCGGTTCTCCCAGATTAGAGTCCGCACTCTTAACCACTACACCAAACTTATAAAGGTATTCTAAGAGAACTCCAGAGCCAAAGATATGCATGAAAATCTGTTTCAGGTCATTATTTCAGGCTCCTGGAATGCTATTAGGAATCCAGGTTTGTTACTGAAACAAAACGATTGTTTGCCAAAAAATCCATGTTGTTTCAAATTTGAGTGTTTACCAAGCCCACAGGAGCATGCACATCTGTTTGCTGTCCTGGAATACAGGCAGAGTAAGGCAACACAGCTAGATTAGAGTCAAGAGTCCGGTCCAGGAGTCAAATACCAGTTTAGCATCCGTCAGAGTTCATAGAACATGGAATTCACTGTCACAGGAAGTGGTGGCAGCTACAAGCATGGACGGCTTCAAAAGGGAATTAGATAGGCATATGGGGCAGAGGTCCATCAGTGGCTATTAGCCACAAGGTATAGATAGGGGCTCTGGGGCAAGTGATGCTCTGTCTTCTTGGTGCTTGGGGGGGTCAACAGTGGGAGGGCTTCTAATGTCCTGGCCCCACTGGTGGGCCTCCTGATGGCACCTGGTATTTTTGGCCACTGTGTGACAGAGTGTTGGACTGGATGGGCCTTCGGCCTGATCCAACATTGGCGTCTCTTATGTTCTTATGGGTTGTTCAGGAAACCAGAGTCATTAATCAGCAAGATTCAGGCAAGTCCAAAAAGCAGAGTCAAGGGTCAGTCCAAAGGTCACAGGAGGCAGAGTCCAGAATTGTGATTGTGAAGTTCACAGGGTTGTATCTTCCCCAATCTGCAGTTCTCCAGGTCTGACTTACATAGGCATTCCTTAACAAGCCTGATTTCCAGCTACCAGCTTGGAGGTGCTCCTGCACTTACTCAAAACTGCTATCATTAGGCAGCTGGCGCCGAGCCAAGAGGTGAGCACTCTGCCTGCATGTCCTTAAGTCTTCCTGGAGCCTTTCCCTTCGCTGTTCAATTAATGAAGAGTACTTTCCTGCTGCTGTGCTTCAGCTACTTTAGAGGTGTGCCTGGGTGGGTCAAGGTCAGCTGCCGGCAATGAATCTTGAGGCTCCTGTATCTCTATTTCCCTAACTTTAGCTGCTTCAGAGCTGGCTGCATGTGGCTCCTCGACCCCTGAGGAGTCTTCAGCCACACTGGACTCAGGCTGGTCAAGCTGGCCCATGACACTTGCCATGTTGTTCTTTGATTCTGCTTGTTTCCCTGGGCCGTGGCATTCTTCCAACCAATTGGCATGGGTCCAGCATTCCCACTCAATCACTTTTGCAGAAAAGCTGCAGAGAGGGAATGCAGTGCACATGCACAGAAATGAGCTACTTTTGGGGAATGCCTGGTAAAACCTATGTGGTAAGAACACTTTGCTTCATGTGGCTGAGATTCTGGGAATGTGGAGATGAGAGGGAGGGCTGCATTCCATGCAGTTGTGGTGGCATTATGTGCCATGATGGCTGCGTGGGAGACCCTCTAATTGGTTGTGCATTGAAAAGGATGCCATCTGCAGTGTGTGTGTGTAAAAAACGGTCCTGAAAATCTAGAACACAAAAAGACAGGGTGGATTCAAAACTGAACCTGTAATCCCCCTACCTGAAACAAAGCAATCACGATAATCTTTTGATTCCTGAAGCCCAGATTTGAAACTGTAGTGAAATTTTTCTCAGTCCATACCCTTAGTGTTCATCAGCACTGCCACATGGGATTTGTAGTGCATCCGCCTAAATAGCTGTGTAATAATTCCATGATGGCAATTAGACTAAGCTAGACAGTTAGGAATAGGAGTTAGGCATTGAGCGGGAGTTTGGTGCGTGTTTCCACTTGGCTTGCCCTTCTGTTGCATCTGCAGTAGCTGAGCTCAAGCTTCAGTTCCCACATGACTTTCTTCTCTGTGTGTGTGTTATATGCTTCTGACTTATGGCTACCCTATGAATTGGCCTCCAAAATATCCTATCTGAGCCTTGCTCAGATCTTGCAAACTGTGGGCCGTGGCTTCCTTGATTGAGTCAATTCATCTCATACCAAGCATCAATGATGGCAATTGATGGAGCCATATTTCACCATGATGGATCTTTGACTTTCCTACCAAGCATCAATGATGGCAATTGAGGGAGCCATATTTCACCATGATGGATCTTTGAAATCTGATGTTCAGATCCTCTGCTTTGGACTAAAGGGAAATAAAGAGTAGTGTATGTTTTGGGGAGGGACACAGCTCAGTGGAAGAGCCTCTACTTGGTACGCAGGAGGTCCCAAGTTCAATCCCCGGCAATTCCAGTTAAAAGGTCCAGGCAGTAGGTGATGTTAAAGACCTCTGCCTGAGACCCTGGAGAGCCACAACCAGTCTGAGTAGACACTGCTAATGTTGAGGCACCAATGGTCTGATTCAGTATAAGGCAACTTCATATTCAGGAAACATTTCCATCACCACTGGGGGGGGGATAAAATCTTATCTTGCTACTAGACATACATGATTAAAAGCTGGAGATTCCAGCTCAGAGTTTGCAACTCCTGGAAAGCTTCAGTGCATGCATTTTCATGTAAATAAATGAGCCTCTAAAATTAAATAATGCACAAGCAAGCATCCTAGAATTACAGAGCATAAAGATTTCAGCGTTTCTATCCTACACTGCCTTCCGTTTCTCATTCTGCTTCAAATAATTCACATAATGAAGGCTAGTAAACTAGTTGTCTTTAGTATTTATTTTTCACTTTGCTTACTCAGATCCTCAAAACGGAAGCCCTTTTTATCTTTTTATTATGTGTGGCCCTTCTCTCTTATTTTAAAAAAATAAAAAAGAACTCCAAAACAAGCAAAAATAGAAAATGCTGATGGTGCCTCTCAAGTGATTCACTGTAGGTTGGGATGCAGGGCACCAGTTGAATCTAAATACTCAAAAATATTGCCCAATCCTCCCATTGAAGACCAATAATATGACCCAGTGTTCCAGTTAAAGACCACAGTACTAATCAATGTAGCCCAACCCTCCAGTTGAAGATCAAGGCACTAAGCAATATGGCCCAGCCCTCCAGTTGAAGATCAAGGTACTAAATATGACCCAGTGTTCCAGATGAAGACCACAGTACTAAGCAATGTAGCCCAATGCTCCAGTTCAAAACCAAGGTACTAAGCAATATGGTCAACATTCCAAATGAAGACCAAGATACTAAGTAATATGGCCCAATCCTCCAGTTGAAGACCAAGGTACTAAACAATATGGCCCAATTCACCAGTTGAAGACCATGGCACTAAGCAATATGGTTCAACCCTCCAGTTGAAGACCAAGGTACTAAAACAATATGACCCAGCATTCCACTTGAGGACCACAGTACTAAGCAATACGGCCCAACCCTCCAGTTGAAGACAAAGGTACTAAGCAATACGGCCTAACCCATCAGTTGAAGACCAAGGCACTAAGCAATATGCTTCAACCCTTCATTTGAAGACCAAGGTATTAAGCAGTATGGCCCATCCCTCCAGTTGAAGACCAAGGTACTAAGCAGTATGGTCAACATTCCAGTTGAAGGCCAAGGTACTAAGCAATATGGCCCAATATTGCAGTTGAAGACCAAGGCACTAAACAATATGGCCCAGCCCTCCAGTTGAAGATCAAGGTACTAAATATGACCCAGTGTTCCAGATGAAGACCACAGTACTAAGCAATGTAGCCCAATGCTCCAGTTCAAAACCAAGGTACTAAGCAATATGGTCAACATTCCAAATGAAGACCAA